GCGAGCTGCTCAGAGCCCTGCTCACTCTGCCACCCTCCTGTCCCCAGCTGTGTCTCTCAGCTATGAAGCTTCAAGACAGGGGAGCCTCAGGGCCTGGGCTCCTCACACAGAATCAATCCCGCCCCACCTGACCTGCCGTGTGTCACATGTCCCCAGTAAGGAATGACATTTATAGTGCTCATTTTCGGATTTCATGTTAATTTGTTTCCACCTTAGAATCTCACTCATAGCTGTCAGTCCCATAAATGAATAAAGTCACTAGAAGCAGAGACACTGTGATGAGACCTGGTGGCTGGGAGAAAAGCAATGGCCTCTGGCTGCAGGGGTTACTGCAGTGAAAGGACTGGGGGAGGGGCAGACAAAACACCGACTCCCTGGGAAGTGCCACTTCCACTTCCTGTTGGGAAGATGAAAGGTCCCACCCAGAGCTGATGTCTTTAGATAAGGCTGCAGGCTGCCTCATCAAACACACTCTTTAGGGCTCACAGCCAACCTCCAGTCCCTGGAGACACCCCGGAAAACCCTATTAGCTGGAGGACGCTTAAGCAGCAAGGATGCATGAAGGGTGTGGGCTAATTCGGGTTGACAACCTTCCCAAGAATCCCCCACTGGGGCACTGCCCTCCCGCTCCTTCTGAGAGAATAAATCACACTGTCAGGTCTGATTTGGGACTCGGGTGATGGGCTGAACAAAGCATCCGTGTGTTCTAGCTGCAGAGGTCAAGGGCAGCCACAATCCCAAGGCCAGTGCTAAAAAGCCTAGGGACTTCATGAGAAACAGGGCTGGGAACCAACAGCTGTGGGCTCCTGGCACACACCAAAGAAATTCCTGTTTTCTCCTGCAAAACTCCTGGCCCAAGCCTCAGCTGCAAATTCCTGTTCCCAGAAGACAGTTCTGTTATATCCAGGCACCATAGGAGTTTGGAATTGGGTGGGTAAGGATCACCAATGGCTGCAGGGAGCGCTGGTGCCGGTAGTCGTGGTGGTGCTGCGGCTGCGGCTGCGGCTGCTACTGCTGCTGCGAGTGGTGGGTGGCAGCAGTAGCTATAAGGGCTAATGGGTATGAGCTGCCACAGCCAGCCACCACCGCCACCACTATCAGCAGTGGCAGTATCAGAATTCACACCGGCATCCATTAAGTGACCTTCGAGCCAGGCACTGTCCCAGGTACTTAAGTCTGTAAGCACATTTAACCTTGGAGACCACTTCTAGGGACAAAAGGCAGCTCCCACGGCTTGAGCTGCTCAGCTGGGGCCAGCCAGTGTGGTCCAGCTGAGCCCGGAACCCGGCTTGGCTGGACTCTGAGCCAGTGCTCTTGGGTTCCCCGTCAGCCTGTTTTCATTTCACTGGCTTGGAGAAGGCTCTCCTGAAGCCAAGTGAAGGTGCCCACAGCCCTGGGGCTCTCCTGGTTGGGACTCAAGTCAACATGCTGCACTGTAGGGAGGAGCACAGAGGCACACAGGAAACATGGGCTGAGGCCAGCAGCCGGATGCCAGGCAGGTGGCATGGCGGGGACCTTTCCTCAGACAGAATAACTAAAAGCACAGGTACTGTTTGCTGGGAAAAGGGAGACCAAAGTAATTTCCTGCCTCCCTGCCCCCAATGTCCCTAGGAGCTGCAGGGAGGATATTCAACTGGTGGAGCCCTCAGAACCAGACCACGCCCAGTGGGAAGGACTTGTATCCAGGGGTAAAGCAAGGCAGGCTGCTACATCTGTCCCTGGCTGGACAGAATGGAGCCTGGCCTGAAGGGGCTCTGGAGACAGGCTGTATGAGTTCTACCCAGGCCCACTCTTCTGTAAGCAACCTCCCCATCCTGTACCTCAGTTTCCACATCATTACTACAGGGATATGACAGCAATGACCTCATAGGGTGGGCATAAGGGCAGAGTGAGCTCATGCACAGAGAGTGCTTCCAGCAGCGTCTGGCACAAAGTCAGCTCCCATTAATACAATTATTATTGCTCTTCCCCCTGTGGAGCCAGACACTGCTGCCTGGTTTACCACCTGACTCTTTCCATTCCCCTTTCTTCTGCCTACTTCTTCTAGAAGGCTGAAAACTTAAATGAATTTCCTACCTGCCTCGCAGAAGGGGAAGTGATGTGACATTGTTCTGCTCGATGAGATGTGAGTGGTGTCATCTAGATTCAGGGGATTCTGGGAGTGCTCAGGTTGTCCAGACTTAAGCACATGTGTCCCTGGAGTTGATCCCTATTTGCGCTGTCTGGAGCTGTAGTAACATCCCTTGACCGTGAGGAAAAAGGCCCACAGAAATGAGGAGGCTCCAAGCCCTGACCCATCACACTGTAAGAGGCTTTTTTATTCTATCAAAGGTTGTTAGCCTGACAAGGGCCCTGCCTCTTGCCCTTTGCATCAATTAGCCAAGAACTGTAGCTAACAAATGGAGACTATGGGGACATTAGAGAGACCTCAGTAGAAACTGTCACAGAGGAGACACAGCTATCAGCTGATGCTGACATTAGTGCATGCAAGTCTGAGGAAAAGTAAAGTTTTGTCAGAGTCCCAAAGATTCCTCCAAAATGGCTGAGTTATATTTGAAATGGTGATGGGACTGGCAGGGGAATTATCTGGCACACAGACACCATCTTAGCCAAGCAAGTCAAATGACCAACACTGGGGGTGATATAACCAGATACCCTGGGTCCCTGGGATGATGCCCTGATGAGGGGACATCTCTTCTGTGATATTCTTCTAAGTAACAATATCTCCTCAATAGAGTCAAGAAAAAACATCAAACACACCTAAATCCAGACACTGCAAAATACCAGAACAGCACACTTCTAAGTCACGAAAGCCAAGAGAGCGCAGGAACCTGTGGACTGGAGGAGAGTGAGAGGACATGATGGGCCGGGGAGCTAGCTCGGTCAGTAAAGTCCTTGCTGCCCTGGCATGAGGACCTGGCACTCAGGAAAAGAGACAGTCATGGTGGTGCATACGTAATCCCAGTGCTGGGGAAGCGGATGAGCAGATTCCTGGGACCACTGGTCAGCCGCCTAGCCTAATTGGCAGGCTCTAGGTCCCAGTGTGAAACTCTGTCTCAAAAACAAACGAACTTCCAGAGGTGATCAGCAGCTAAGAGTAAACACTGTGGGACAGAGGAGCCAAGTTTGGCTCCCAGTGTTTACAAAGGGTGGCTCAGGACCACTGCAACTCCAGCTCCACACACACACACACACACACACACACACACACACACACTGCTGTGGAATGTCTTTCTGTATGCTCTGAGTATGTGTGGCCCCCATTGGATAATAAATAAAGCTGCAATGGCCTATGGCAGGCAGGAGAATCCAAAAGAGACAGTGAGGGAAGAAAGACAGAAAGAAGAGACGCCAGCCGCTGCCCAAGGAGCAACAAGATGCCAGCAGACCGGTAACGCCCTGGCCACATGGCAACATATAGATTAATAGGAATGGGTTAATTTAAGATGAAAAAGCTAGCTAGCAAGAAGCTAAAGCCATAGGCCACAGTTTATAATTAGTATAAGCCTCTGTTTGTTTACTTGGGACCGAGTGGCTGCAGGACTGAGAGGGACACAGGAAAACTTCTGTCAATAACATACACACACACTAAAATGTTCAAAAGTTAAAAGCCCAAACAAAGCCAGGTGGTAGTGACACACACCTTTAAAATCCCAGCACTCAGGAAGCAGAGGCAGGAGGATTTCTTGAGTTTGAGGTCAGCCTGGTCCACATCGTGAGAAGACCTTGTCTCGAAAAACCAAACCAAACCAAACCAAACCAAACAAAACAAAACACCCCAAACAAACCATGGTGAACAATAACTGCAAGAAGCAGTCTCCAACCCCAGAGACGGTCCCACAGATCAACTCCAGGGACCTGGCAAAACTTTACCAAGATGGACAGCTCAGAGAAGGATCACTCGGTTACCCCGGGTTCACTGTGTTCCCACAGCTCGATTGCCAGTCTCTGTGTCAGCTGGCAACATTTCAGCACCCAGAGCCAGCATCCTCCACCCTCTCATCGCCCACAGTGAGGGTCTCCCAGTTCTTGGAGGACCAGACACTGCTTCCCCAGCACGCTGCCACAAAGGCTGGCATGAGCATTCAGGAACGCCTCATTAGGAACCAAAAGAGCGTATGCCCTAAAACTGACTTCACTGCCTAAAATCCATCCCAGAACATGAAAGAGCACAATGCTTGTTAGGAAAAAAAAAAAAAAATCATGCCCAAATTTAACCTACTTAAACTTACACATCCAGATAGGTATTTACCATACATACATATTTTAATCACGTGGGAGCACCTACGCTGCTGCTGCTACTGCATTTTAAACCCAGAGAGAGCAGCATACAGTAGGGTGATGGGCCTGTTCTGTCTCCTTGTGTAGCAGGTTCACAAGAAAATTCCTTTGTGTGAACCTTAAAACACACACACACACACACACACACACACAAAACTAAAAACAAACAAAAAAAACCCACAAGAGTGAAGTTTACTCTCTATAAAAGTTAAATTGAGGGCCGGGCGGTGGTGGCGCACGCCTTTAATCCCAGCACTCGGGAGGCAGAGCCAGGCGGATCTCTGTGAGTTCGAGGCCAGCCTGGACTACCAAGTGAGTTCCAGGAAAGGCGCAAAGCTACACAGAGAAACCCTGTCTCGAAAAACCAAAAAAAAAAAAAGTTAAATTGAATTCAAATAGTATAAAACCTGAGTATAACTGTGCTCATGAACAAGGCTCTGAGATACAGTGTTGCTGAGGATGCTCCAGAAGCACCTGTACAGCATGGATTCTTTTCTTAGCAAAGTAAAATACAAAGTGTGTGTGTGTGTACACGTGTACGCGCGCATCCTAGGACACTAGCAGCCAATGACAGTATTTACCCCTAAGGGAGGTTGGGAGGCAGTGAGTAGTGATGGAGACAGCTACCTCTTCTCTGAGCCTTTGTATGCATATTTAAGAATAATAAAGACGTTATGTGTATTATCTATAAAATGTAAACAAATAGCCGCTGTACTTACCTCAGTATGCCCTGGACACTAGCGTGCCTTTCAGGTCTCACGAGAGCCCAGGTCAAGGATGCACCTGTAGAAAGGGAAAAGAGCAGCTCATGCCTCTGGCCAAGTGATGCAGAGCCTTCCTGCTGCAACAGCTGCCTGTCATACTTGACAAAAGCGATCCAAGCCCGGCACTGAGAATACACGTGAAGCAGCACAGCCGCTGTCCTCGAGGAGGTGGCTGAACAAGCACACCACACAAGACCAGGGCTGGTCCGTGTCAGATGCAAACCGAGAACGGGGCTGCCAACTCACGCGGTGTGCTGAAGCCTCCACCAGGAAAGGCACCCAAATAGGTAAGATCACAAACTATGACTACCCTGGAAAGAGCTCCCAGGCCATAAAACAGCTGGTGCAAAGGCCCTGAGGCAGGAGAGGCTCCGGGCAGGAGCAGGCGACAGGCCAGTGTGGTGGGTACCATGACAGTGAGGACAGGGTTGGATATACAAGTGTAGGACACTTCTTTCAGAGAGCTACATGCAGAGACATGACAGTCAATATGACTTTTCTGACATAACTTTAGGTACGTTTGTAGGGTTTCATTTATCTGAATGAAAATTTTAAAAATTTTGAGTATATAGCCGGGTGGTGGTGGCGCACTCAGGAGGCAGAGCCAGGCAGATCTCTGTGAGTTTGAGGCCAGCCTGGTCTACAGAGCGAGATCCAGGACAGGCACCAAAACTACACACAATAAACCCTGTCTCGAAACCGCCCCCCCAAAAAAAATTTTGTGTATATAAAGGGTGTGTGTGGGCACGTGTGTAAGCATTGTGGAGTCAGAGGACAACTTTTGGAAATCGGTTCTCTTCTTCTATCTTTATGTAGGTTCTTGGGATTGAATGTAGGTTGTCAGGCTTGTGTGGCAAGTGCTTTACCCACAAAAATCGATGTTGTCAGCACATGGTGGGGCATTTTAAGATGAAGTGAATCTGTTCATATTACACAGGCTGGGGGCCCTCCTGAGTCAGGAAGAGATCTAGAAGGGCAACCCACAAATGTCCACAGTGAATGAATATGAAAGATTGCAAAGGAACCCGATTCTATCCAGAAATCAGAATATCTGTAAAACAAAACCCAATCTGTGCCCGTTTGCTTTTTTTTTTCTCTTCTTCTTCTTTTTTTTTTTTTTTTTTTTTGGTTGTTGTTGTGGGAGCTGAGGATCGAACCCAGGGTCTTGCACTTGCTAGGCAAGCACTCTACCACTGAGCTAAGTCCCCACCCCCTTCTTTCTCTTCTTGTGTGTGCATGTGCAAGAGAGAGAGGGAGAGACAGAAAGAGGGGATGGAGGAGGGGGAGAAAGGGAGGGTAGTGTATGTGGGGAGGGTGAGTGCAGTTCAGGCTGCTGGGAGCGGAAGCGGGGCAGCACACTTGGCCACGCCCACACATCTTGATTACTACTTTAAATTTGAGGTCGAGGGGTGGATTCAGTGATTTAGAAATAGATGAGTAAGCTAGCTGTGGTGGCACATTCAAGAGGCTTAGGGACTGGGATAGATATAAGTTCGAGACCTCTGCAGGGCAAGGTCCTGCCTTGACACACACATGATCCAGACCTGGCCTAATGCTGAAGTCACTATACTGCTTTTCCTGGTCCTGGCCGGGAAACCAGGTGAGCTGAGCAACCAACAGCCACCAGTCAGAGGGCAGGTGAAGGAAATGTGAGCAAAGGGATGGCTTACTGACTCTGCCTAAGAGTCACACACATCCCCTTACATCTGCTGGGGACCATCTCCTGACCCTGAGGAAAAAAAAAACGAAACACAGAAGACCAACCCACCCACTGACCCAAAGAGTCAAGAGGGAGGAAGAGACAGCACCCTGGAGGCCCTGGATCCCTCGATTCCTGATGCCATTGTTAGCAGGCTCTCCCAGGCTGAGTCTGTATATGCCCTCTTTTACATAAGCAAGATGGCCTGAATCTGTTTGTACACACACACACATACACACACACACACACACACACACACACACACACACACACACAAAAAAAAAAAAAAAAAAAAAAAAGCTCCCAACTAACACAGAAGGGCAGAGGCCGCTGCTGTTCTTGCTGATTCCCAGAGCTCACTACCAGGCCATTTAGGGAAGCACAAAATAAAGTTAGAAACAGTCCCTATACATAGAACCAGCAACAAAAGGAAAGCACACACTTTGGAAGAACCCAGAAGCAGTCCCTTGGGCCCTTGCTTGCTCCTCAGCTGGGCTATGAAGCCCTGATAACTTTGACTTTCAACATGCTCCAAAGGGTGGGAGGGAAGCAGAAACCTCAGGATACCTCCTTTATTACCACCAGACTTGCCATTAGCCAATTCCTGGAATGATCAGGAAGGCCCTGAACCAAGTGCTTGTAAAGTTTTACTAGGCCCTGTTTAAATTGCAATGGACATTGCTTTCCTGCCACTCTTTCATTTTTCCCTCCTCTAAAGCAATTCCCATTTTTGTTTGTGTGTTTGGTTGACTTTTTTGGAGACAGGGTTTCTCTGTATAACGGCTCTGGCCATCCTGGAACTTGCTCTGTAGACCAGGCTGGCCTTGAACTCATAGAGATCCACCTGCCTCTGCCTCCTGAGTACTGGGATTAAAGGCATGCACCACCACACCACGAGCCCCGCTCCCTTTCAAAGACAGGTTAGCCTGAATTCAAGATTTTCCTGCCTTGGCTTGGTACTCCAGGAAGGCAAGGGCACATGGAGTCTAGCTGCATCTGGCTTTCTGTTTTATTTTTTTTTTGGTGACAGGGTTTCTTTGTGTAATAGCTCTGTCTGTCCGAGAACTCACAGAGATCCATCTGCCTCTGTCTCAAGTGATGGGATTAAAGGCATGGGCCACCACACCCCGGCACCTGGCACCTTTCTTCGGAGCTAGGAACCTGTGGATTGCAAGAAACTGGAGGCTCATCTGCCTGGGGTCAACACACATACACACACACACACATCACACACACACATACACACACACACTGCCTGAGGTCACCACACACACACACACACACACACACACACACACACACACACTACCTGAGGTCACCACACACACACACACACACACACACACACACACACACACACACACTGCCTGAGGTCACCACACACACACACACACACTGTCTGAGGTCACCACACACACACACACAGACTGAGGTCACCACACACATACACACACACACACACACACACACACACACACTGCCTGAGGTCACCACACACACACACACACACACACACACACACATCACACAGACACACACACACAGACACACACATACACACACATCACACACACACACACAGACATACACATACACACACACAGACACACACACACAGACACACACACATCCTGAAGAGGAAAGTGAAGAGCAGCACAGTGATTGCAGTGAAAGAGAACAAGGCTGGTTCAGGCAGAGCAGACACCTGAGCTTCCTGAGGCCAAGGGAGAGTGCCCCTGCAGGTGCCTCAGCAATCCCTGCATGCCCACGGCTGTGGCCCATCAGTCACAGGCATTGCACTCACAGGCCAAGCACATCCCTCTCCACAGGTTTATACCAAGAACAGAGTTCCAGAAAAGAAAGGTGGGGTGGCCATAGCCCAGTAGGGACTCCCAGGTTGAAATCTCCCTCCCCTTGGCCACGTTCTGAGCAGGCCGATGGGAGCTCGCCTTGGGAGGTCTGTTGCTGCACAGAGGGGATGGAGACAGGGACTGACCAGGGTTTATTTGCCAGCCTGGGGCAGATTCTGAATAGGAATAGTTGAGTGGTGACTGGGCAGGCCAGCTCTGGGATCTTTGTGTCTCTGAGCAGTTAGCCTCCCTCTGAGGTTTAAGACGGGGCAAATCTGTCCTCATGGTCATCTGCATTTAACAGAACACAAACCTTTCAAAACACCCTGCTGCTTCTCTCCATGGGAGGAGCCACATCTCAGGGAGGTCATAGACCTCCCTAGGCTGCATCCTCGGGGCCAGGTAAGGGAGCACTGTCATCTAGTCGGACCTGTCCACTCAATGGGCAAGGACACTGAGGTTCCGGATGTGTAGTGACTTGTCTGGGGACACTGCAGGGTCTACCATATAGCCCCAGCGGGAGGACAGTCCCCAGTGAGACTGCAGAGGAAAGACCACGACAGCAAGCAAAGCCCCAGCCCAGCCCACCAGATCACAGCAGTACATTTGCTTCCTGTTTCACAAAATGGCTTTCAGGGCAGTGTCTGATGAAGCTGCACCATTCCACGATCACTGTGCTGAAAACCAAGCTTTTGGGGGCTGTCTGCAGGCTAAGGACCTTGGGTTTGGCCCTCACTGAGTCCCCCGCAGCAGGCACTGTGGTCACGGCTGGACATGCTGCTGGCAGCCTCGTAGTGAAGCAGCATTTTTGCCCCAAACCAAAGGGCCAAGAAACCATGGAGGAAAACCTCTGGAAATAAACCTTTTTATTTTATTTAAAAGAGGAAAGGTTTATTTCCAGAGCGGAAATAAACCTTTCCTCTTTTAAAATTCATTGTCTCAGGTGTTTTGTCACAGTAATGCAAAGCTAATTAAAACAATCCCCTTTCAGCTCTGCTTTTTATAGTTGTTTGTTTGTTTAGAGACTTGGTCTCACCATGAAGCCCAGGCTGGCCTCAAATCTGAGACCCTCCTGCCTCAGTCTCTGGGGATGACTGGTGTGAGCTACTGTATTCAGCCTGCACAGACACTCTTAGCAGGTGTCATGATGAGTGGCCAAGTCTCTCTCCTCCATGCAGCCAGCTGTGTGAGCAGCTTCCTGGGCTTCCCACGCTGAGTGAAGAAGCACAGCCCTGTGGCTTCCACCATGAGCTGCATTCTCCTTTCCAGACTGTCTGAGAGCTTCCTATGGGGCACGGGAAACTCACCAACCAATGAAGTGGCTCAGTGGTGCCTCATGTAGAGGTGATTCCCAGCACGTCCAGCCCCATCCCATCTATCTCTGAAATCAAGCCCAGGAAAAGATCTGTTCATTCAACTGCCTCTCCCCACGTTCCAACAAAGAGCTGATACAGGAAGAAAGAATTCTGC